TCGAGTAAAGCTAAGCCAAATTGTCCCTCACCCACCCCCACCCCATATCAAAATTTTTTGAAAGAGTTAATACCACAAATGGTCCTTTGACTTTTGGGGTAGCACTCCTTTTAGTCCCCGACTTTCAATTCGACCAAAAAGTATACTTCGACTTTAATTTTTTACCACAAATATTCATCCATTATAATTTCTGATAAATGGATATTAAATCTAAGGTTAATATCGTCAAATAAAAAAATATTAAATGTTCCTCAGCACTCAGTAGAATGAAACCAAATACCCTTCAATGCACCTTCATTGAGTTCATTCTTCGCCAATTCTCCTCCAAAGTTTCAACACTCAGAATTTGGAGAGAAAAAAAATACCCTTCATTTTCCCCAATTTTCCTTTAAAGCTTTAACACCTCGAATTTTGGAGAGAGAAAATGCAATACCCTTCATTCTTCCCTAATTTACATCCACATTGAAAGTCGAGGATTAAAAGGAGTACTACTCCTATAGTCAGAGGATCATTTGTGGTACAAATTCTTTTTAAAATGTTTAAGATAACTCTTAACCTTATCATTACTACAATCTAAAAAAAAAAAGGAGCTAATGAAACTTGTAGGCTTACATATATAAATTGAATCGCTCGCACTATAATGTTGGTGATAATTACAATAATGTCATTGCATTTTTTTTTTAAATCATCTTATTTGTTTCAATTTTTTTTTATTATAAATATAAGGCTGGGATTAGTTCTTAATTTTTTCTTGAGGGCATATTCTCATTGGAGTGTTAACCTATAGAACAAGGTCTTCGTATAAGAACTTATATTAGGATATATCTCTACCGCCCGTTAGAGTTTAATATTAGTTGAGGGGTTTAGTGTAAAAAAAAAAAAAAAAAAAAAAAATAACTAAATAAAGTTATTGAAAATTAACTAAAAAAATTATAATTATTGAAAATTTTGAAATTTTTAATATTTATAATCGCAACCCACATATTTTCTGCTTATTTTCTACAAATATCAAGGTGATCTACATAAAAATTAACTAAATAAAGTTAATTAAGTAAACACATATACACTTGAATATATAAATAATAAACAAGTATTAAGTTCAAATATATATTGAAAATGATCTACATATACACATGAAATATATATTTTCTCAAATATTTGACACATGTCTAATATATGAGAAAAAATTTGTTCCTCACTACAACCGTGCCCAAAAAAATAGATAAATAAAAAAATAGGGGAGTAATTTTGTTATATACAATTTATTTTTTTCATCCTTTTCTGGAGCAAGTGGTACGAATGAAACAAAAACTCTTGCATATATCTTTTTTTGTTTGTGTGTGTATGTGTGAGGGACATGTATACTATAAGCGAAAAGAAGAATATATAACTACTAACCAACATAATTAGCAAGAAAGCATGAAAGAACATGAGAACAATCTTTGATGCCATTTGTATGTTTACTGTACAACAACGTTAAATTTGATTCGCTTGAAATAGAACTACAACAATTTTTGATGCTTTACTAATTTATAAGAAGAGCATCAAATGTAACGGATGGCGCATACATAGTAATCCCCAATATTGCATAAACTCATATTGTCCATGTATCGTAAAATATTAAAACAAAAATACTATACTTGTTATTTGAAGGGAAATTTTATCCCAAATATTGTATAATTGTCTTTCTATAGTAAAATTTTTTAAAGGGAAAATGGCACTTTTTCCCCCTATGTTATATACTTATAGCACTTTTTCCCCCTCAATTATTTATGTAAGCACATTAGCCCCCTCAATTATTTTAAAAGTGGTGGTTTTCTCCCCTAATATATTAAATTGACATTTCTACCCTTAAAGTAAACATTTTATTTATTTTACTTCTCCAACAAATTATTGCGTATATGTAGCGATTACCACGGTTCGGTTCGAACTAAACCAGACACTATAGCAATCGAATTAAAAGTTTTCAGTTATGATTCAGATCTAGAACCCAATATTTGGATTTCAATTTATTAAATTTAAGAATAAAAAAAAAAAAAAAAAAAAACTGGATCATGAACCGACGGTTCCGGATCCCGTTCGCGATTTTGAACCGTCTTTATTTTAAAATTTTATTTTTTATTTTAAAATAGTTTAAATTCAACAATAAATGTATTTTATTTTTTCAGTTTGGAACATAAACCGCCCATTCCAGTTCGTGATTTTAATAAACTCTAAATATCGCGTTTTGATTATAAATTGTAATTGGAATATTTTGGTTTAGTTACTATAGTATCTGGTTTGAACCAAATTATAGTAAAATTTATTGGAGAATAAAAATAAATGAAATATTTATTTTAAGGGTAAATATGTCCATTTAACATTTCAGGGGGAAAAAGAGCCACTTAAATAATTGAGGGGGAAAAAGTGCTATAAGTATATAACATAGGGGAAAAAAGTGCCATTTTCCCTTTTTTAAATATTTCCTTATTTTTTTTCGAAGAAAAATTTTATTTCGGACAATGCTATATGAAACGCTTTTCAAACCTAATTTTATCTATTTTATTTAACTAATACATTACCGGTGCGATGCACCCATATATATTTTTTATTATATATTTAAATAATAAAATTAATGATGAAATTATAAACAATTCTAATATTTGAAAGTGTACATTTATTTGAAAATGGTATTTTCACCCGTGCGATACATGGAATGGATTTGTTGTAATATATTAAGAATATTTGAATCAATAAATAATTATTTAAATTACAGCATCAAATATTATATAGTGCAATTAAAGAAATGGTTTGCATCATTTATGTATTTTGATGTTATCATTGCTTGAATTTGTGCAAATAATTGCTCAAATTAATAGCTAATGTCTAGATGTACGCATTCTGTGCTATAATTTTGAAGATTTTATTTATCATTGTTTAGTATTTTCATAAATTAGGCAAATGTGCTCGTTCTCTAAAAACTCAGTTATATGAATGAATTGCTATCGTAATTCATTTGTATGGAAGATATATTTTTTGTCTAGATATGTAGTAATTTTTCCATTTAAAAAAAAACATAATATAATCGATTATATTTACACATTATTGAAACATCTTTGCAGATGACATTGGTAGTTGCAACACAATGTTATCCATCATCGTCTAGAGCTAACACCTTCAGTTCATCAAGATAGGTTACTAGGGTGAAAATATATAATGGTAGAATATCACTCATTTAGTGATCATTTTATATTTTCAGTCAATTATTAATATCATATTCGTTTTCAGCCAATTATTCTCTTTTATTTTTAGTCTATTAGTCAATTAGAATAGCAAAAGCAGTGATATTTTTACCTAAATTTAGTTCCATTTTTAATTGATGATGTAGATATTATTATTGAATTATTTATGTTCCATTTTTAATTTACCTTTACTATTTTTTAAAATATGCATTTACTATTAATGATGTAGAATATTATTATTGAAATATTTTCGTCCAATTTTTAATTTCCGTACCATTTTAAATTAAAATGCAATGAACTGACCATTTATTTTTTATTTTAGTCAATTATGGATTATTTATTATTTGCAGTCAATTATTAATATTCATATCCTTTTATATTTTTTGTCAATTAGTAATATTAGATTCATTTTCAGTCAATTATTCTTTTTTATTTTCAGACAATTAGTCAATTAGAATGTAGATGCAGCGATATTTTTATCTAATTTCTGTTTGATTTTTATTTGATGATGTAAAATGTTATTATTAAAATATTTCCTTTAATTTTCATTTTTAATTTTCGTTCCATTTTTAATTTACCTTTACTATTATTTAAAATATACATTTACTATTGATGATGTAGAATGTTATTATTAAAATATTTGTTTTCCATTTTTAATTTTCATTTACTTGATGATGTAAAATATTATTATTGAAATATTTCCGTTCCATTTTTAATTTCCGTTCCTTTGTTTGAAATTGTGAAAAATTTATATATAATTGTAATTTTATTTATTCTGTTGTGTAATATTATTGTGAAAAATTAAAATTCAATAATTTGACCATTTCCTTTTCCATTTTAGTCAATTATAGAATAATTTTTTTCAGCACGTCAATTATTAATATTCATTTCCTTTTCCAATTAACCTAATTTCCGTTCATTTTTTTCATTTTTAATTTTCAAATAACTAGATATTGTCCCGTGCAATGCACGGGGTAAATACCATTTTAATAAAAAAAGTGTTGTTGTACAATAAAAAAAAAAAGAAAAAGAAAATATTATTGAAAGAAAGACTAAATTACAAAGTATTAAAAACTTGTAAAGTACATTAGTAGTAGAAATACAATTAGTTGTTCACCACAAAGTAATATTTGTCCTCTGACCCCACCACCCACAAGTTGTGTGGTTGTTTGATTCCAGTACTGTTTTATTGCCTCTGTGCACTTTTGACTATTTGTTGTTGTTATTCGTGTCTAGAGTTATGTCTTATGATTCTGTTGCTTCGGTTTTGAGCTATTGATTTGTTATAAAGACACATTCTTGAAGGATCTAGAGTTGTCTCCACTGGTTATTTGAGATGTTGATGATATTTGGAAGCCCTCCACACTAGTTCCGGGATGTGACAGATTATTGAGAATATGTTATGATATTGTCCCCTAGGAGGACTTGAGACTCGGTATTGTATGTGTGACTATGACGTGATTCAGAATGTACTTGGATTATGTGATTGATATATCTTTTCCTTTGAGTTTTTATCTTGAATATCCTTATTTTGTTGAATAAGTCTTTTGTTTGTGATCATTGCCTTATGATGATGAGTTGAATTCTCTCGTATCCTTGCTTTGGAGTCTATTCATTGAATTGAGTTTGCTTGTTGTTTGTATCGCTTGAATCAGTTATGATATGTCCTTTATTCTTAAACGATCCGTTTGAGATAGAGTTGACTAGTTGATGTGTGTGTATATATATATATATATATATATATATATATATATATATATATATATATATATATATATATATATATATGTATGTATATATATATATATATATAACAACCGATGGTTCTCAATCCATCCAACTGAGCAATTATCGCTAATCCTTTAAAATAAGTTTTCATCAGGTACACACGGAGTAGAGACCCTTCCTGAGACCGTGTAGTAGGGATGTAGACCTTTGCCTTAGAACTTAGGCATGATTTGACCTAAATGTGGCATAACACCCCTGTTGGATTTAACTTTTCTTCCACGATGTTATTTTCAGTTTCAGACTTTATTTAGCTATCTTTGCCAGTTCATTGCTTTCATTAAGCTCAAGAACTGGGGGTGTTACGAGTATTGTAAAAGGAAATCTAGAGATAGACGAAGCTTAGAAGTTCATATCCAGTGTAACCTATGCCTCACGGTGAACCGATGAGTTTATAGTCCATCAGCATGAGGAATGAAACAACAAACAATCGGAGCTTTTGAAGATTGTGGATAAGGATCTTTCATTCAAGGCGACTTTGTGGCTAACCCTTGGACTAAAGATCAGGTGTTGCAGTACGGAAGGAACATCATCTGCAATCAACAGTGCTTTGTGGATACAATGTGTGACTTTTATACTTGTATCTGTGCACATAATATTAGTGAAATCTTCCTTGGACGTTAAAGAGAAGAGTTGGGTAGGCAGTTGCCGACAAAATTATAAATATCTCTCTATCTGTAAGTGTAAATATGTTGCACATTTAAACCTCTTAATATTAGCTTAGATTAGTTGTCAAAAATAGTTCTGGATTAGTTGCTGGATTAATCATAACGTCTGGAGTAGTTGAAACGATTAGCGCAAGAAAGTAATCCAGGAGGTATGAAGCTTCTTCAAATTATTTATTCAAGACCCTATCAAAGGGGAGATCTAAATCTACTGGAGCAGCCGAAATCAAGGATGTGAAGAGTTCTTGTTTTATGGATCAAAGGATCCTTTACTACCTATATAAAATGCTACTTTGATTAGCATTCATTCACGCACTCTTTCATATTATTGTTTTACTCTGAAATTCTTGGTTCATCTATACCAAATATATTCTGTACTGTTGAGTGTGAAGAAATGTCCGTAATCAGTTGAAGAAGCAATGAAGATCGCCTGCACATCGGATCCACAGGAGTAGGTTCTGGAGTAGTTATAGGTTATACTTTAGTATGTAATTAACTCTCCTTTTGTACTCCGTTTTTATCATAGTGGATTTGGGTTGATGTGAGTGACTCTGCAGACATAGGAGTGAGGCTCCGAACTGCGCGAACATATCCTGGTGCATGCTTTCATTTACTGCTATTTATTTTATGTTCTTTATTATATCTGGAGTAAGATTGCATCTAGTCCAGCATTATAATTGAAACAAAATTAAAGTTCTTAAAGCTAAATCTTGCATTGAAGACTCACGTGCTTTTTCAATTGGTATCAAAGCCCGGGGACTTAAATTACTAGTCTAACCGATCTGGCGATCACTTGGTTTTTTAACTCAAGATCTCAGCATCTGTCTATTTTTTTGTTTATCTAGTTTACTTGTTACTCACTGTGCATTGAGTCTTACAGAATGGAACGACATAGAGCACCTCCTGAATTAACAGGTGACAACTATGCGTACTGGAAGGCCCGCACCAAAATGCATCTACGAGCTCAAGGAGAGAGGGGTATGGAGGGCTATTCGTACTGGTTGGTCTCATCCTACCAACGATGGACACAATACAGGAGATCCTCAAGTCCTCAAACCAGAGGTAGAATGGACAGAGACTGAGATGACCACCGCAAGCTACATCCATAAAGCGTTAGATACTATATTTTCTTTAATGCATGAGAGTCAGTTTACCATTGTTGCAGGGTGTGATTCGGCTAAAGAAGCTTGGGATGCCTTAGAAACTACTTATGAAGGAACCTCTTCGGTTAAACAATCCAAACTACAAATGGTTCAAACAGACTTTGAAGATCTAAAGATGAAAAATGATGAAACCATAGTGGATTTTCATGCTATGGTACAAGAACTAGCCAATAGGGTAAGCATCTTAGGCGAGCCAATCACTCAAGAAAGACTTGTCAAAAAGATTCTTCGCTCACTTCCTCCACATCCTAAGGTCACAAGATTATCCAACATCAATCATATCAATATCCAATCACTATTTCAGTCATAATCAACAATAAGACACGTATGCACATATGGTGGTGCCGCATGACCCTTCACGTGCCCATACAAGAAGGTCAGTGCATATAGCTCTGACATGGCCCCATAGCACTTTACTTGTACCGCATCACAAGGAGATTGATCGCAACCAAACGATGGACCGCAGCCCTATTATCATGTATATCTGATCGCAACTAGATTATGGACCGCTGCCCTATATATATATATATATATCTATATATATATATATATATATATATATATATATATATATATATATATATATATATATATATATATATATATATAACAGCCGATGGTTCTCAATCCATCCAACTGCCTGTATAGCCGACCGATTGCAACCGGTCGGGTTAACACCTGATGGTTCTCAACCCATCAGATGGTCATTATAGCCAATTGATCGCAACCAATTGGGGTATCCTGCACAATTAACACAGAAGCCAAACAACATGCAACCCACATTAACACATAGTGAGGGGGAATCATCGGGGAATACTTATCCTAATGTAATCCATACGTAAAACACCTCATTAAACCGCTCGTGACATTCCTAAGGGATCATGCACCTTCCTCTTAGGCCAACGGGATACCAATTCAACTAGCATGCAATACCCAAGACTCTTTTATCCTAAGAACGGTACCCGATACGTCAAACTAGACTCACACACGACATACGAGGCACATCGGGACACAATGGGACATGGGGAAACATTCAACAGGGAAAAACATCATGACTCGTACCGAAATTCCAGCGGGTGGCCGGCGGGTGGAGGGCTACCCGCCGGCGGCGAACCATAAGCCAGCGGGTGCCCGGCGGGCAGTCGTCTACCCGCTAGCAAGAGGGCACGGGCAGCGGGTAGGTGGCGGGTACCCCTGCCCCCACCTACCCCCCACTGACTCGTATGTAATATTTTGGTCCCGAGATACTTCGTGGAACCTGAAACCATGACCAGACACATTCAAACACAAACAATGACACCACGTATTCAAGAAACGGATTTAAACCAAGAATCACATCAAATACATCTTAACCCGACTTCTAAACATGCCAAGACTCAACACCCGAACATGCAAAATCCCACCCAAATATACCAAAATCACATAACACAAAATCCACGTTTTATTACCCTAGGGCTCTAGTCATAATTGAAACACAAGATCGTTCGTATAATTTATCATAGAACCAAGAACATCAAGATTATCACATAAGCATCAAGATCAACACGTAAACCTCAAGATCATCTTATAAACACAATATAAATCTCAGGCAAAGCTTTATCATGACTCGAGAACAGAATCAAATATCAAGGAAGCCAATGAAGAAGATATAGCAAGGAAAATAGGTTTTGTTGAGACATGAGTTACCTCTTAGCCTTAATTAGAATTCTTGGCTACTAAGGTTCTTTTTCTAAGATTTCATCCTCATGATTTCTCCTACATTTGGTGACAGGGGATTTTCCTGGGAATTCTTGTGTGGTGGAATCTATTGTGGTGGGATTTCTAGGTGTGTCATAAGTCCTTATATATATTTAAGAGTCCTAACTAAGGTCTGAATAGTAAGGATTCACTTATTCTATTCCTTATAGGACTAAGGGTTTGGTTTAAGGATAAGGGTCCATGATCCATGGTGGACCCTTCTTAATTAATTAAGGGAATTTAAATCTCTTTTAATGGTAAGCAATTAAATAATTAGTCTGGGTTAGGGGCCGTAACACGGGGTGTTACAGTTAGTGGTAAAGGTTCAAAAGCATATAAGAATTATATAAAAGAAGTTGTAAGGATGGCACATCATCCCTACTGTTCCTGTTTAAGCACAAAGTTGAGCATGCAACTAGATAGGCATAAGATATAGATAAGAGAGTTCAAACACTTATCACAATATACTGAAGATAGTTCAAAGACTTGAATAAAACAAGTCAAAATGCTTAAAGTAAAGCACTTTCAAAATAAAGCAATTCAAAAATAAAGTTGGCACCCCACGCATAGGGTACCTAGAGTTTCATCTTCGAGAACCAGACAACAGTGAAATCACACATTCAATCAAGATTGGGAGAATGCACAGCGGTAACGTCCTTCCCTGTTATAGGGATCAATTCGAGTGTCTTGAACTGTCCACATTTCGGTTGTGACTGGGAGGAAGGGCATCAACCTGGTCCTACTGACCTCGGATGGCATCTATTACTACGTTCACCATTTCCGTGTGCATTTGGTAATGAAAGCTAGCAAGGACGCCCAATCTGTCACCTGGGGCAATCTATCCGGAACCTCTGGAAGGAGTGGGTCGCTTCTTTATGCAGCATGTGTGCTACTGTGAAGAGTGATGGGTGCGGGCCTGTGTGGCATGGGTCTCGCGTCGAGCCCAATCCTAGGCACCGGCCTTATACACATTGCTTCAATTTCTGACATGGGAATTAGGCTAACTCTTGCTACGACATCTTTTTCCAAAAATGTCTTTCTAACTTTAATCCCCAGCACAGCCTGGCCAAAAGTGGCCCTATGAAGACTATCTCTTCCTATTGCTTCTGCTGACCCTGTAGCCACTTTTTGCAAGTCCTTCCCATATTTACCTTCATACCCGTCTCCAAGCTCCACAAGTAGAACATGTCATCTATTGTTACTTTATCCCTTTCGGCCTTCGACCATTCCAGGTTATGGCTTAAGAGACTTCATATAATCCGGAAATCATCCATCACGAGGTGGTGACAATAGATGTCTCCTATTCGCTGAAACTCCAGCGACCTATTGTGTGGGGTCAAAAAGATTTCAGCCTCTAAGTCCGATGGGAAATCATCTAGTAACCCTTCTGGGTCCAGCAGTCCCAAACACCTGGCCAGTTGATTTGTTGACAAATGATAAGT